CCTGGGGATGTAACTCAGTGATAGAGCAGTTGCCTAACATGCATGAGGCCCTGGGTTCAATCTCACCCCCCACCCCCAAATAATAATACAATGAATAGCTCAGTTTTGTTGGAACATTGAACTAAAATGTAATAGAAGGGAGAAGTTCTTAATGAGTGGCCATCAGCAGGAAGCTTGGTCTTGTTCTGCCTGTTCCCTCGAACTGAATGAAGTGCTGCCTGTACATCTCAACCTGCCCTTTTGAGAAAACAGCCACCAGACAAACATGCACAGGGAAAGCAGCAGTAAAACGTGGAGCACATTTTTAAATGGAGCTTGTACAGTGAAGGGAAGTGGGCCCCTCTTGTGGTGAGTAGTTGAGGGAGATGGTTGCTCCATATATAGACATGCACTGTGTCGTGGCCCAGAGATTTTTATCTGGACAAAGAGCTTTCTTGCCTAGTCTTATTTACCTTTGTCATTCCACACACTCTCAGTTGTAATAAGCTGTTTGAGATTGGGGGAGGGAGATGCTTTATTCCTTCTTGTCCTTTTTAAGCCACCATCGTTGCTTAAAAAACACTGTTGTTGGTTAGTGATTGTGCATGATAGCGGAAATTGAGCAGTCTTGATGGAGTGCACTTATTAATATTTGATTAGTGTATTTAACATACATTTGAGGATCTGCAGTGTGCAAGATGTGGTGTTTAGACACAGACCACATCCGTGAACAGTGTAGACCATAATCTCTATTTGGATGGAGTTTTAACATTTGGAGTGAAGAGACAGAATAAACACTACTTGTGTAATATTCTAGAAGGTGTTAGGAAGGGATTGAGATGGTCAGGGAGATTATTTTTGAGGAAGACCTAAAAGGAGAGGGGAGCAAGTCTTGTGGAAATCTGGGTGTATAGTATTTCCTGCACAGAGAACAGCCAGATACAGAGGATTGTTTGATGCTTTGTATTGAAAGGCTGTTCATGCCTTGTAATGGATCAAGGGCAGAGGCATGGAGACAACTTAAGAGACCAGGACAGTCATCTGGAGGAGATGAGATGGAATCAAAGTTTGGTCTAGGGTGATAGTGGTTGATGTGTAAGTGATATGATTATGGCTGTATTCTAAAGATAGACCCAGCAGGCGTTGCTAATGGCTTATGTGCATGTGGGTTAAGAAAGATAATGAGCCAGCAGGAACGGATGACTGATGATGTTGGCCTGAGCAATAGTAAGAATGGTGTTGCCTTTCACTGACATGAGGAAGAGAGAGTAGATCAGGTTCTAGGAGACGAAGCCAGATTGTACTCCCAAAGACAACAAGGCAGTCACCAAGGCCCCATTCAGTGAGAACAGTGGTTCATAATGTTAATAATTCTCACATTTGTAGATCATGCAACTGGTTCCTTTCAACCTAATGTCATAAGATTGGAAGTTAGCAGGTAAAAATTAGGTTGGATAGATTCATGGCTTATGGCAAGTAGGTCAAGTGTAGAGATGTAGCTTTTTTCTTTTATTATTGTCTGGTGGAAGGATTAATTAATAGTGATAGAGAAAATGAAGGCAAAGCCTTTGACTTATTGAGAACTTTGATAAGCTGTGGTTTTATAGCTGACTTGTCAAGGTATCTAATCTGTGTTTACTTAATCTAGGAAGCCAGTGTCTGGAACTTATTTTTAATCTTATATTCTCTTTATGTCTCTATTCATTCACATATAATTATTTGTAAATACTTAAACTAGATTTTGTCATATGTGCCATTTGCAGTCTTTGTTAATAGTTGTATGTCCACCTTTGGTATTTTCTCTGTATATGCAAATTTTTAAACATGGATGATATGGAATGATCTTGTATCAATGTTGTTATTCCTGTCAGTAAACGAAGTCTTTTCCTTTGAAGAGAGTATTGTGTTGTGATTATGGGGAGAAATTATGTAGACATGGACATGTGAGTGCAAGACCTGGTGTATACGCAAATAACTAGCACATTCTGGCGTACACTGCATACTACCTGTTTGGTTTCAGTTTTCTTGTCTGTAAAATGGTCATAACAATTGTTCTTATCTCATGATTGTTGTGAGGATTAAAGTAATCCACCCAGAACTAGTTAGTCAGGACTTAGTTCTTAAGATCAGGTTTGTTTGTTTCTTTTAATCTTCCATTTATAACTCACTTGTCTTTGATAAATATTTTTTTTGAGCAGATAGTGCTGAGCCTCTTGAATTCTCCCCCCTGAGTTACATAAATGTTTAGTCATTGAGATTATATGATACAGTATCATTGGCATGGTTCTGTTATTTTATATTTTCATTTTTCTCAAAAAGGAGGTGGTTGAGTTTTCACTGTATACATGATCTGGTTTCATCCACATAAAAGTTAAAATAAGTGATAGTTTCACACTTGTTCCCTTATAATCTAAAGTTCCTATTTCCCAGAGAGTTTAAAAAAGAAACCCAAAACTAAATCCATTGTGAGCCAACTCTTAAACATTGATAGAGATTAAAATAAGTATTTTGGGGGAAGAGGTAGATGTGGATGAAATGATAAATGTGGTGGTTTTTGAGCTTTTCTAGGCAAATAAGATGTCATTTGAAGAAAAGGTTTGTTTGCATGGGATATTGTTCACACACATACTGATCAAAATAGAGCTGTTTTGGTTCATAAGTGGTTGTGAGAGGTTGTGCCTCCCTTTCTACCCATTATGGTGCATGAGGAACTGAAAGTCCCCGGAATACAGTTGGAACAGTATTTTGACTCCAACCAGGATTTTTATACATAACGTACTTTAAAAAACCTGACTAGCCAGCTTGGTGTGGTGCACACCTATCATCCTTGCACTCTGGCAGGAGGAACGCAAGTTCAGCCGTAGCCCGGCAGACTTAGGGGGCTTAGCAAGACTCTGTCTCCAAAAAAGAAATGTGGGTAGGCTAGGGATGTAGTGTGAAGGTCCTGGGTTCTGTACATAGTGCTGCAGAACAGAGGAAAAAACCCTGAATAGTCAAAGTTACAGGTGATAGAAATGTTTTTTAGAGGCTTTAAGCCTCTTAAATGTTCAGGGGTACTATATTGCACAATTACCTTTAAATGTTGCTTCAGCTCCACTTGTGATTTAAAATTGATTGGAGTTCATGTCAATTTTATTAGGAAAACTCACTTTTACTTTCACCTGTCACTGATAAGCCCTATCATATTGTGGTTCACATCTTTGAGGTAAGCAGAATTGAGGACAGCTCAGTACCAAGTGCCATTTAGTGTTCCACTCATGAAATTTCCTTTGCTGGACCTTGATTTGAAATGACAGAAATGAAAATAAATAAATGTTTTACATTTTACTTGAAGTGATGTTAAGTAGGAGCTAAGAGCTGATGAGGTATATGGGAGCCTGATTAAAATATTTGTGAGAACAGCATATTTAATATATTATTTATTTTTAATCTAGTCTCTTATTTAAGTAAATTTGAAGATTTGAATATGCCTGGCACATAGTTGACATTTACTTTGAAAGGGCTAATAACATTACCAGTCCATTCAGGCTGTGGAAACATTTATTGAGCCATTGGCCTGTTGTACTGGGCAGTATTGCCCACTTTCTATATTTTATTCTTCATTATGCCATTCAGAGCTAAGCACTGGTTGTGTGTTATAGGTGAGACAGTTGAAGTTCATAGAGATAAGTTGTTTGCCCAAGATCCTACAGTTAGGAAGTGGCAGAGCTTGAAACCTACCTCTTCAAAGCTGACTGCTTTCCGTTGTTCCATGACATCTGCATGTCCCTGGTGGTCGTTTATACCCATCACCTTTACAAAGTCATGAAATCTGGTGGTAGTGAGAAAGCAAGCCTCTGGTATATACATGTTCTCTTTGTGGTAGGTTAGAAAAAGGTGATTATAATTCAGGCATTCAGATTTTTGGAAGAGTCTGTGTTACATAACCCTAGCTCACCATGTGAATAGTCTTCATTTGGTTCGGTTCTCATGTAACAGGACTCATCAGGCCTGCTTTGCACAATGCTGCCAGGGCCTGTTCACCTTGCCCCTCTGAGTGTGTGTTTATAAACTGACCCCAAAGCTAAAGATGTTTGGTTACTTGTAGGGGCACTGAATTCTACTCTTTTATTAGTTCACGTGTGTCATTGTACTTGTTTATGATGTGGAGCCCTGATTGAGTTTAGGGTTCATTTTTCCCTGTTTAACTTTTAATATAGGTAATTTTTCTTTTTAGATAGAGTGACCATACAACCTGGATTTTACAGATTATATCAGAATGATTTCTGGGCTTGGTAGAGGTTACCCTTTACCTATGGCACTCATGCCACAACAGGCTGATTGATTGAAAGCTCTAAAAGGTTCACGATCACTGCCTTAGATGGTAGAAGAGAGATTTGATCATTATAACTAATTCTGTTTTGGTAAGCATGTTTTATATCACCTGAAGGAGTTTAATAGCAAATTTAAATTTGATCTATCTAGTTGGTCAAGCACAATAGATTTTTATGTATACTTCTCTCAATTCTTCAGTTGTAATTTAATTCATTGAGATTACATGACAGTGTCAGTTGCATACTAATTTTCTGTAAAAATAAAATACTACTTTCTAAGAAGACAGTCCTCTTTTATGGGGAATCTGCTGTTTTCAAAATACCTTCATGTTTGAAGTTTGACTACCCATTATCACTAGGGAACCATATCTTTATACATTCTACAACTATATATTTTACTGTAGAAGTAATTTTTAAATGCACTACCAAGGAACCAACCCTCATACTTTTCATTATTATACCTATTTGATTACTTGTCCCATTTTCTCATTTAAGACCTTTATCTGAACTATGAGCCATGAAAAAAGGCATAAATAAAAAGAGATAAGATAAAATGCATTAAAAAGCTTCACACTAGCTGAAGAAAAGATTTTTCCATGTGTATTTTTCCTAAGAATAAAGGAACTCTGGACAGTATTCGTTGTATTTTTTTTGAAGAAATATTTATTCGTTAAAAAGAAAAAATTGCATTAAGCTTTTATTTCCAACCCCTGAAAGGCTGAAATTTAAAGGTTTCACAATCTTTATTTATGACAAGAATATGACATTTACCTGTGTTGTAGTCATAGTATTTTATATCTTTCTGCAAACTAAATTGACCTCTTTTTGGTTTTGTTTTTCCTTTATTCCACTTTAGCAGGTGCTGGTTTCTGTGTGCATCTTGTTTAAATTGGGAGAGTCTTAAAAACCTCCCCAGTCCCCAAAAAAGGTAAATGATGAAAAACAAAAGAAAAACCCTACCCACAAACTGATATGGTGTCCACTGAGCGGACTGTCAGCAGTAGCTTTTGAAGGGTCTGAAGAGGTAATATACAGAAAGAGTTGAATTCAGCCTTAACTTAGGGTTTAGCCACTCCCTAGGGTTTAGCTATCTCCCCTGTGGGTGGACATATTCTGGGGAAGTTAGGAGTCAGGCCTTGCATAGTAATGTCAAAGAGTCTGAGCATTTCACAGGGGGCAGAACCTGGATTGCAGAAAATGTTACTGATATTACTGCTGCTTTATAGTGATGGAGAAAGGAAATATTTATTTTACTTTTGAGCATTTTATCTCTGAACAAATACACAAATGAAACCTCCACCCTCTAAATAAAAACAAAAAGGCACTAGATATTTTTTCTCTCCCTTCAGGGAGCACATAGTCACTCCCATTGAGAAGAGCAATACCTGAAAGGTCTTCTGACCTCCTTTGTGCTAGGGTTAAGTTGAACAGGTGACATGGATATGACTTAGATATTGGGAGCCAGAGGATCTCCTTTGAACGCAGGATTTCCTACCTACCAACAACACTTTGAGTGAGGGACTATCCCTTACACAGATACATTTAAAAGTATGCTTTTAAATAACATAGGTTTATTACTCATGTGAGATCTCATTAAAATATTAGGTGGTTATTTGTGAATCATTTCCAAGTAATTTCTTTAAAAACTTAAAAGCTTTTGGGTATGGGGAAGGTGGTAATAAGATATGACTAATTCAGGAATTTTCAAGTATAATGTGATACAAATTCTAACTTCTAAGTATTTTTGCCTTTGGCAATTTTATTGATGCCAGCCATTGACTCTGACTTCAAGGAAGCAGGATTTTAATCACTTTTCATAGCATAATTATTATAGTGCTTTGTGTTTACAAAAGGGATAAAGATGGGATTGACATTTTTTTCTAGGCAGTTTTATGAATTAGGCCTAATAACCTATTTGATAGAGCATTAGTCCTGAGGCATTACGTCTAACTTATTGTCAGTGAGAATTGTGTTTATAAGTTTTTAGCACTGTGGTCTATTTTGAACAGTTTTGAAAAGAAGTAGCCTTGGTATCATTTGTGGGATTTACATTTACTGTTTATTTAAAAAAAAATACCATATTTACCAGAAAGCAGCAGATTTGTCAAGTATGGAAAGACATTCTGAAACTGTCAGTGAGAAGGAGAAATTACTTAGAATAACATGTTGAGGCATTAGGTTGAATTATAATGTTTTTCTTAACCTGCCTGTCAGGTGCAATTATAATTACTTTCGAAGAATTAGTATTTGTCTCTTCACCAGCAGAAAAACCGTCAAATTCATAAAAATAATTTTAGGTAAATTTAAATGTCTGTTTTGCAGAATGATTATCTTAACCCAGGACTGAAAATCATGGACTTACTGAAGATCATTTATTTAATGGTGGGCAAATGTGTGTTTTGTTCAGGTTTGGAAGATAAAATACTCCAGAAAACTACTTCCCCTCCTTACTTTCTATATCATTTGAATGAAAAGGTATTAGATGGAAGAAATACTCAACAAAATTACACCTGAGGCAGTACTTTTATCAGAGGCTTTCTTGGAAATAATGCCTGAAGAAAAGGAAGAGAAGGAAATTACCTCTTTTAAAGTTTTATCTTTTCTTCTCGCTAACAGAAATCTTAGGGTGGTTTTATAACTTGTATGTTTCCAGTTTTTTGTGTGGAAGATCTTGTTTCCCATTAGGCATCTTGTAAGTTTTAGGTTACTGTGTAATAACTATATACATTTATAGTAGGAATTTAGAATAGTTTTCTAGCAATGTGTTTGTATAGATGGAACAGTATTCTGTATGTAAATGATCTGGGGATAGATGCTAACACCGAGTGAACACATCTGCTGTTTGTTCCATCTAGAACCCTAACAACCATAAAGTTAACCTCAAATACTCTTAGGATTCTTAGTACTTGCAGATGTGTTTTGGTGCCCTTATGAATAACACCTCCTTGAGGGTACTTTAAGATCTCGATGCCTGTTCTAAACTGAGACTGCCACAGTAAGACAAGAAAGGACACTATTACGATTAGTTAATGGCTCAAGAAAGTTACACCACTTAGTTTTGAAGTTGATGAATTTTTAGTTTAGAATGATACCTAAAATGGTCCCTGATTTTTATGTATCAGCTGCAATAGTGTAGATTAGTCTTTGCTGTGGAACTAAAGTGTATTTTAACAGTTTTTTTTTCCTTTTATAATGTCTGTTGCGCCGTGTTTGTTTGACTGAAAGTTTCCTCATCGCTTGGTGAGACCCTCCTCTAATTCAATCTTTGTCTTTTGTCTTTGCTGCCTTGCAGGGTTGGTACAGTAGGCTTCACTAGACTTAGCTGCAACTCAGAATTTCTCCTCCAGCACCTGAGTAAATGCTGATGGTCTTGTGGAGAGTGGATTAAGAGTACGAGCTAAGTTCTCAATCCCAATTAAGAAGCGGAGGAAAATTTAACTGTCTCCTTCAAAGTTTATCACCACCATCAAGACAGCAAACCAAAGGACAAAGACTTTGAACTGCTGTGTTGCTCTGTGTAGTCCAGTTCACGTATGGTTTACAAACTTGACTGGGGTTACTATTAAGTAAGAAAAGTTGGACACTTCTGTCATTTGGACATTTATTCAGAAGTTACCAGAATGAGGGCTGTACTGGAGACAGCAGACATTGCCATAGTGGCCCTGTATTTTATCCTGGTCATGTGCATTGGTTTTTTTGCCATGTGGAAATCTAATAGAAGCACCGTGAGTGGATACTTCTTGGCGGGGCGCTCTATGACCTGGGTAGCAATTGGTGCCTCTCTGTTTGTGAGCAATATTGGGAGTGAGCACTTCATTGGGCTGGCAGGATCTGGAGCTGCAAGTGGATTTGCAGTGGGCGCATGGGAATTCAATGCCTTACTGCTTTTGCAACTTCTGGGATGGGTTTTTATCCCAATTTACATCCGATCAGGGGTGTACACCATGCCTGAATACTTGTCCAAGCGATTTGGTGGCCATAGGATTCAGGTCTATTTTGCAGCCTTGTCTCTGATTCTCTATATCTTCACCAAACTCTCAGTGGACCTGTATTCGGGTGCCCTCTTTATCCAGGAGTCTTTGGGTTGGAACCTTTATGTGTCTGTCATCCTGCTCATTGGCATGACTGCTTTACTGACTGTCACCGGAGGCCTTGTTGCAGTGATCTACACAGACACTCTGCAGGCTCTGCTCATGATTGTTGGAGCACTCACACTTATGATTATTAGCATGATGGAGATTGGCGGGTTTGAGGAAGTTAAGAGAAGGTACATGTTGGCCTCTCCCAATGTGTCTTCCATCTTGTTGACGTATAACCTTTCCAACACAAATTCTTGTAATGTCGGCCCTACGGAAGAAGCCCTAAAAATGTTGCGGGATCCAACAGATGAAGATGTTCCATGGCCTGGCTTCATTCTTGGGCAAACCCCAGCCTCGGTGTGGTACTGGTGTGCTGACCAAGTCATCGTGCAGAGGGTCCTAGCAGCCAAAAACATTGCTCATGCCAAAGGCTCTACTCTTATGGCTGGCTTCTTAAAGCTTCTGCCAATGTTTATCATAGTTGTTCCAGGAATGATTTCCAGGATACTGTTTGTTGATGATATAGCTTGCATCAACCCCGAGCACTGCATGAAAGTGTGTGGAAGCAGAGCTGGGTGCTCCAATATTGCTTACCCCCGCCTGGTGATGAAACTGGTTCCTGTGGGCCTTCGGGGATTGATGATGGCAGTGATGATTGCAGCTCTGATGAGTGACTTGGACTCTATCTTTAACAGTGCCAGTACCATATTCACCCTTGATGTGTACAAACTCATACGCAAAAGTGCAAGCTCCCGGGAACTAATGATTGTGGGGAGGATATTTGTGGCTTTTATGGTGGTGATCAGCATAGCATGGGTGCCAATCATCGTGGAGATGCAAGGAGGCCAGATGTACCTTTATATTCAGGAGGTAGCAGATTACCTGACACCCCCAGTGGCAGCCCTGTTCCTTCTGGCAATTTTCTGGAAGCGCTGCAATGAACAAGGGGCTTTCTATGGTGGAATGGCTGGCTTTGTCCTTGGAGCAGTCCGTTTGATACTAGCCTTCACCTACCGTGCCCCAGAGTGTGACCAACCTGATAATAGGCCGGGCTTCATCAAAGATGTCCATTATATGTACGTGGCCACAGCATTGTTTTGGGTCACAGGACTCATTACTGTAATTGTTAGCCTCCTCACACCACCTCCTACAAAGGAACAGATTCGTACCACCACCTTTTGGTCTAAGAAGAACGTGGTGGCCAAGGAGAGTTGCTCTCAGAAAGATGAACTATACAAAATGCAAGAGAAGAGCATTCTCCGATGCAGCGAGAACAGTGAGGCCATTAACCACGTCATTCCCAATGGGAAATCTGAAGATAGCATAAAGGGCTTGCAGCCTGAAGATGTTAATCTGTTGGTGACCTGCAGAGAAGAGGGCAACGCAGTGGCTTCCTTGGGTCATTCAGAGGCAGAAACACCGGTAGATGCTTATTCCAATGGGCAAGCAGCTCTCATGGGTGAGAAAGAAAGAAAGAAAGAAACAGAGAGTGGAAGCCGGTACTGGAAGTTCATAGACTGGTTTTGTGGCTTTAAAAGTAAGAGTCTCAGCAAGAGGAGTCTCAGAGATCTGATGGAAGAGGAGGCTGTTTGTTTACAAATGTTAGAAGAGACTCCAAAAGTTAAAGTAATACTAAATATTGGACTTTTTGGTGTGTGTTCACTTGGAATTTTCATGTTTGTTTATTTTTCCTTATGAACTTAAGGGTATGGTGAGACACTTAACTTAAAAAAATACATGTCTTTGGAAAAAATTATGTAACTGTTGCATCTCTCAGGCATTGTTTACGCTGTAGATTTTTAGCCAAATTTTACTTAGCAGAAAATCATCTATTTGCAAGACTTTATTTTCCCAGAGATGGATGAGAGTAAATCTTCAACTTAAATGAAGCAAAACAGACTCTGTTGTGCAAAAATGTGGTTTAAATTTTTCCATACCAAAGTAAGGAGAGACCAATTATTCTCATAGATCGTTTAGAGCAGAATATATGTTAAGGTATCATGAATAGTGTATTGTCCGCACTGCCAAGTCTTGCTGAAGTAGAAGATTTGCTCATTTCTAAGTTTTTTTCTGTCTCTCTAATTCGTACTACCATTAATGAAAAATGAAGTCTGAGACATTGTACAGTCAGTCATGTACTGAAAAATCGAATGTGCTTGTACTCATTTCAGGACAAGTTAGTTGTGAGGTCCATTTTGTTAGCATGAGTCTGTGGATTCTGATTGCCAAAAGAAAGCTAGAATATTTGCCTGTAGGTATTTTTGTACCACCTGTATGTGTAATGTTGGAGGGGAAATTTTTGTTCTAGTGTGTTGTCACCACCCCCTTCATTGAAGTTTAAGGGAACTGTACTCAAAATGACAAGGTATCTATAAAGTTACATGTCACAGTTTTATTAAATTGGGAGGTGGGAGTGAAATAAATGATCCCCACACTTGCTGACCAAATTAAGGATCTTATATAGTTTAGGAATAACTGGTTCCCAAGCAGTGTTTGATTAACCTGTGCTGAACAGATGAGTAATCCATATTCTGTCAGTTTCCAGGCTCTTTTTTTCCCCACTCATAATTTGGTAGCATTCTTTATTATGACTAAACATTCTTTATTATTGATTGACCTAGTGGCTAGCAGTCAAAATGAGATGAAGTGAGGATATTAATCTTCAAAGGTAGAGAAAAGTATCCCAGTGGATTTAGTTGGAAGATATATCCAAATATCTTACAGAAAAATTGACACTGCTTTTGTGTGGTGGGTTACCCCACTTGATTAAATCATGATATATTAAGGTTGGGTTTTTAGAGGAAAATTTTAGTTCTGGAATCATACTACATTCTTGATAACTTTGTTACTGATTTTTTTTCCCCAGAACAACTTGCCATCTGTACACCTGCCTCTACATCTTTGTTATATAATGTATTAGAGCATGAGGATGTTTCAGTGCAAACTGACCATCAGTAACAGAAAACTCAGAGTGCATGCCTGCCACTGGTAGATTTTCAGTATGGTCATTTTTGTATGATGGATAGCATGTTCATGAGGTGCCATGAACAAGAACTTTGGGGTTTAGTAGTGTGCTTGTGGAGGATATTACAGGACTTGTGTAATTATAAGACTCTTATCTTGACATGGCTTGGTACCCAGTTGCAACATCCGTGGATGGAATCTTTTTCACAGGCTGTTTCTCCTTACTGAGCACAGAGTACAAAAGATGTTAGAAGAAATATCTATAGATGATGTAATTCTGTGTCAGCACTGTACTATGTCCTCCATGAAAGATGAAGAAAACTAATTGTGTATCTACTTTCTTTAAACTGATACTTTTAAAATTGCATGATTTTTATTAAGCTTGTATTAGGGAAAATTACTTTTATAGATGCTTTTGTAGATTTTGATTCAAAACTCAGCCCCGATGACTTCAGATTTTTCTGTAGTGTATATATAAACTTGTTTGTTTATGATAGACTTAATTAGTCTGAAGTTGATTTTAGAAATTATCAGGTAGAGCATAATGTCTTCCCATCTTCAGGAGGCTTTGTCATGGACGGAGTAGGTAGATGAAAAAAAATTCACGTGTGAATAGCATGTATTTCTGAAGAGCTGTAGAGTGCCTTGTAGAATTTTTTCTCCCAATTTCATGAGGTTTATAACCTTGAAGGGTAGATATATAGGGACCATCTTTTTTTATGGAAGTTGAGGCTATAACCTCTCTAAGGTTATAAAATCTATTTGGGAAGAACAGAAACCGGGTCCCCACATCTGGACTCAGTGTTTGTCCATATGTGTCTGACAGTGCTTTGTGTTATTTTCCCAAAGGAAATACTCTTCTTTTAAGACAGCTTTTTGGTATTTGGGAAAAGTAATAGAATCTTGGGTTTTCAAAATTGGCATTAAGTAGTAGGAATTAACATTTGGTTTGACTAAATATATTGCTGTGTAACTCAGCAGTGAGAATTGACACATTGGCTGGGCACTCTTCCTTCTTTTTATGGCATAAGTGAATAGGAGCTATTTATATGGATTTTTCTCTATTTAATGTTGAGTCTTAATAGGTTGGATTATTAGTGTTCCCCTACCTTCTCTCTGCTGTTGACTTAGTAAGATACATAAAATATATCCATCTTGTGTCTTGATGTATATATAGCAGTAGGTCAAGTTTAGAGAACTAATGTCTGTAAATAAGTAATGACTATTAGTATTTCCAGTAGAATTGTTTATTCTTGTCAGTATAAACATCACTTTATTTAGACTGAAGTTCCTGAAGCTTGCCATTCCTATGACTTCCCACTAATAGATAATGTGCTTGAATAGGTATGTGAATTGCTGGTGGCAGCTTCATTTCAGGAGACTTACTTCAGTCCGTATTTCATTAGAATGATTGTTCCTGGAATGATATATGGACTGTCTTTAAGTTAGAAAAATGTTCAAACTTTATAGATGACATTGCTCTCTAGACATTAATGTGTGCATATTTTTATATTTGCTCAAGCTAAGTTTCAGAGTTTACCTAGAATGATAATTGACTAAGCTAGTGGCTAGCAGTCAAAATGAGGTGAGGTTGAGGATACTAATCTTCGAAGGTGGGGAAAAAATACCATCCCTTCACCTGTGAATGTTTCCCAGCTCCTAGATTTTTGTCTTTGACAGTCTTGCTTCCGGATCGGATGAGTAAGGCTTAAGTACAGTGGTAGGCAGCATGGTTCTTGGCTCTTTTGTGGGACTTCCTATTTCCTCTTCATCTCAGAAGACTAACCAGCTGAGCCAGCCTTTCTTCTTTAGCTATTCTTTCCTGGGAAGTTACTATTTTTGTCTTTAGAGAGCGTCAAACAATAGAAGTGGTGGTGTGTCTTTTGGCCCAAGTTTAATAGATCCCAGATCTTCAGGGCTTCCTTTTCACATGACTCAAATGATCCATTGTCCTTTTACATACAGTCTGGCTAGGATCCTGTTGCCTTGGCTCTTAGAGATTCCCCTCTCAAGAAATTAGCAGAGACCTATCACCCTGTGAAATTTCCCATTTTAAGAACTGGGTGGGAGGGTTCTTGCTCAGTTCTCTTACCTCGAGCAAAAGTCTAGAGTAGTTGTTACTCACTTCTCTTACCTAAAGTCTTGTCTAGAGTAGAATCTTGAGTCTTTGTTTCTACATAACCAATCCGTGGCTTTTTATTCTTTATACAAGGTGTACAGCTTTCCCCCCTCTTTGAAAATCATTTAGTGTAGCTCATGGGTTATTCTCATTTTTTTTCACCAAGTAAATCACCTGTTTGGTGGTGAACCTGTGGTACATGTATTGCAGCAGACTGTTTGTATCATTGAAAGCTCTAAAGGTTTGCCATTACTGACTTAAGATTAGGTCCTTCAGTGTTCTCATTTGGCAGTATTAGGTTTACTTGATTCCGTTATGCTTTACTCCCCCTGTCTCTATCTGAGGCATGATGACAAGAAAGGTATTTAGCAGTGACACCTCACCATTCCCTGGGTTTGAGTTGAGAGAAGATATGTACAAGACCACTCTTGTTAAATGATGTAATCGCAGAGCCTTGCCAGGATAAAATTTTCCTAGGAAATTAGAAAAACTATTAAGATGCTGGTTAATACCTAGGTGATAGAGATGAGAATAAGTTGGTAAAGGACAAATGTTAGCTTAAAATTTGGAGATGTAAAAGCATATTCATTTAATTCTAGAACCCTAAGCATCTTGGCAGTCAGCTAGTTTAACAAATCCCCACTGGCTTGGACCACTGCTGATGGCTCAGAGCTGCCTGGCAGCCCCACATTATAGCCCCATATGGCCCCATCCAGCCCTGTCCAGCCTTGTCCAGTTGTGAACATGTTGAACCACTCCCCATGTAAATGAGGGTACCCGGAGTAAGATCCAACTGGATAACTCTTATTTAAGCTTACGTATTATGAAGTACAAATGTGTTAACATAGTAATGGTTAAAATGGCTAATGTAGGATACTGATAATTTAGTATGAAAAATACTTTTGGGCTTCAATATCCATAAGATTGCTTATAAGCCAGGTGCTAAGGTGCTTAAAGTATTTTATTGTTTATATTAGCCCCAGTAGACTTTATAAATGACACACATTGCTGTATATGTGTACATCCTTCTAACATTCAGACACTGGTCTTTTTGTCTCCTCTCACATTGCTTTGTTAGTTCTTTACCTGTTCTTTCAACACCTACCAAATTCTTATTTCCTTCTCCTTTTTTGGTTGGCTTACTTCACTTTCAGGCATATTGTCTTGGTATTTAAAACTGCTCCTTTGCCCCAAAATTAAGGACTTAGATCAAAATAATGATTCATTGAATAGTTATATTTAAGTTTACTAAATTTCTGTTGACTAAAAATGTTAATTCTTGAGAATAATTTTCTCAGATTTGTGTTGGTTAATAATAAACACTAATAATCAGTATTTTATTTTCAAAACATCATTTACAAAAATTAGGGAGAAAGTGAGAGTGAAAATTTGTGAGTCCTTTTGAAATGACAATAGATCAGAATGCAGAGAGGCAGTAGTTTATTTTGATGCCCAGAAAGTCTTGTTCTCTCAGCAAATAAAGATAAAAAATTGAAACTTGTCAGTTGGGAGATGGAGAAAGCCTTCTGTACTGGTAGGTTTGAGGCTGGATTGTGTAAAGCATAATCCTTATAGATTACTGGATTTGTTGGTTTAACTTGGGTACAGACCCTTCTTACTAAGATCGTGTCTGTCCTCTGTTGGAATACTGTAGCTGCTCAACTACTTAGATTCCTAGTAGAGAATGGGTAAGGTTCTAAGTCCTACACCATTATTTATTCACTCAGTTGTGTGAGTGTTTTCCTTTAAACTTCTCCCCTGCCAGTCCTGGAACTAACCCAGTGAGCACCTTTAAAAAAATGTTGTTATTTTTACTTGTCTCAACTCCTTTAAGAAGGTTGGGGTGTGTCCTCCATTTATCGGATAACCAACAGTGTAACCATTAGCAGAAAAAAGGTCTTTTTACTCAGAAAACTGTATCATGCACTTTACTTTTCAAGGGAGTGTCATAAATCATCTGTGGCTGTTGACTCAATCCGGTGACCTTACTGTGTTAACAACACTTGAACTTGGTTACCAGCAACAGCGTATTTGAAGAGAGAGCACTCATTCTCTTTGTGAAGGAGCAGTGGTTTTGTTGTCCTCAGAAAGGGAGAGAAGCACTTTGCTGTTGCCTGTGATAGGTAACAACCCCCCTCCCCCCATCAGGATGGATTCAGTGCACACTACCAGTAAGGGAAATTCTCACAACGGCTCAAGTTGAGAATAGATATTTACAACCTGATGTTACCTTGAATTCACTCTGTTCCCTAGTGCTGCTGGATGAAGGAGTTGTTTACTTACTGTTTTTAGACAGAGTAGGTAAATTTTCAGTTTATCAATATAGCCTAGACCAGTGTTGGCGAACTTATGGCATATGTGCTGCAGTGGGCTGTTTGTATCATCGAAAGCTCTACAAGGTTCACCATCATGGGCCTAGACTTACAAGTAGAATAAATGTTCATTAGTAACTCACTTTTTTCTCATGATAATTGAAAATCGAAGTAAGACTTGTTAATGAAATACCAAATTGGCAAAGGCCAATAGATAATGGTATTTCATTCTATAACCCGCTTTTGAAATTTGAGTGTTTGGATTAGTGCCTTCTGGCTGCCACTATTAGCTAATAGCTGTGTACCTTTACTTTTTTTTTTAGTACAAAATTCTTTGTTGATCTTACATTTTGGTATAACTAATGGAGAGCATTTAAAGTGAACTCCACATATTTACGTATTTTACGTGCAGCCTTTAGAGTCAAGAAAAAAAGTAACTTGACAGTTGTGTTGCAGCCTAATGCTATTTATGTTTATTTGCTTTTATATTCATAATTGAAATGTTAGTCACATATATCTATTTTATCATTTTACCTTGTAGGTTTATAAGTATGTCTGAGAACACATGTGATAACAGTTCAGATTCCTCCTAGAGAAAAAATTAATAGTCTATAGAAAGCACAAAGTCACATTGAAGTATGTGTGTCTCTACACATAGAAAGCACAAAACTGATAGTATTCTTAGTAACCGACAAGTGCCAGTCATAAACTCCCCAAGTATTTGTCTCAGTTATTATGAGGACCGCAGTATTGACAGCTCTGGAAAATGAGGTATCTCAGTTACAGGTGGCACCTAAGTGATAAGGGATTCAAGGTAGTAATATAAGTTTGTTCTGCTTTCGTGGAGAGAGAATACAGGTTTCAAGAATACTGTGATTGTATTTGGGGGTTACTAGCAAAGATAGAGTCTGGGCTAATTTCCATAATCTGAAAATAAAGAAATAAGGACAGACTTTTAGGGTTTTGGTGAGAACTCATAAAACCTTCTGCTCTAAGCTATAGAGCCATTGGAGTTTATTTTTTTAATCTTGCCTTGTGAAAATAATACCTATCATCAACAATACTCTAAAAAAACATGAAGATGTTCACATTTTTGTAGGGTAAATAACATTTAATTTTTGTGTAAGTTTTATGGGAGAGATGAAGTAATCTTTTATTTTCTTCATATGCTTGAATGCTTCATTTTTTTTATTTTGGTTTTTTGTTTGTTTCATTTCAGTAGAGCATTCGATCCAAGTGTTCTGAGCATCAAACTAATCCTGAGACAAATTTGCCAAAAGAATTACTTTGCTTTGCACAATGGTACTAAGAGTGAAGGATTCTTTCTTTACCTGTCCCATCATCCTGAAGATCAGATTAGAGGAAATCTATGAATGTGCTTGCAAAAGATGAAAATGCATTTTTTTCCACCCAGCAGCTCCCTTACTCTGTTTCTCACTTCATTTACCTTCAAATGGTCCATGCTTACCAAGAATGAATAAGTAGCTCTATCTTGAATTTTGTCCGGATGTCAGATATCAGCTCTTAGGAGAGAAGTGACCACTTTGTTCCTACTCTTCTGTATTTTGTATTTTTATCTTCTTAGGGATAGGCTTGTTCAACTCTTAATATGTCTAGAATGAGGATTATAGCTGGTGCAGACTAATGTGAAATGTTTTAGATGAGTTAACCTGAACACTTTGAGGGAGATTTCCTCTTTCCAGCACAAAGTTGGGTAGGTGTTTACCCACAAAATTATTTTAGAATGTTAAACCTTAGGCTTGGGAGGCTGAGGGGGGAAGAGTCCCAGAAATGCAGGAAACTGGAGAAGTTTGAGCAGCATCCTTGGCTTAGCAGTATGTGAAAATGCAAAGCAATTACAATGTGTTAGTCCTAGATATTATGTATTCTGTACCTTTAAGTTTAAAATAGTTTATTGGGCCGGGGATTTAGCTCAGTGGTTCCGGCGCCTGCCACACAAGTGCAAGGTCCCGAGTTCGATCTCTGGTACAAAAAAAAAAAAAAGAAGTTTATAAGAACTTTATGAAAGAACGCATTCCGAAAATTCCTTTGGCAGAAATATCTTGGATTTGTAATTCCATGGAAAACTGCTTTAATTAGCCTAGGTGAAAAGTACTCCTAGCAGTGTAAATATGTATAGTTAGAATTTTCTAATTTCACTGTGAGATCTCAGACTTTGAGTGGCAAACAGATCAACAAGTCTTTTGCTCATGGACTTTTCTGTGGGGTTGTTAAAATGCAAAAGCTTTATTTTTTTTAATAATGACATACTACATTAGTGTCAGATAATGGTTTGGAATCTGTAACCCTGCTTTCCCCAGCCATTATTGCTTCAGTTTATAGATTGCCAGCAGAGTTCAGCAATAGATCAGGGATTTACCATTCATTCTTTGCCTGGATGTCCCATGTTCTGTGTCCAGACTTGTGTTGGCAATCACAGTATGAACTGTGTTAGGCTTCTCAGTGCTTTTTTTTCTTTTTTAATAAGATGGATATCAAAAATAGTTGCTGTGCAAAAGTTAGTAGTCTTCTTCAAGAAGAAAACCAATTCCTTTTCTAATAATATCCTGTGAAATTGCTTCATTCATTCCATTGTTTTTAAGCCAAATGTCAGCAGAGTACTGCTGCTTTTATCTAGTAATTTTGATATGTTAAGTATTCATGCATTTTAAAAAATGTCTACGTTGCAAAATATTTTTCCCAGTGTTCTGTCTATTATGCTTTGTTCAGATTTTTTATAAAAGTCCAGTCAGTACACTGGGAGTTGTATTGTGTTTATGTATCATTTTAGTCTTTTAGAATTTGTAGACCAAATGTGATTATAATGAAGCTGATGAATATTAATTTTGTTAATGAATTTTTTAAATTGTAAACTGATTTCCAATTTACCCTCCATTGTTCACAGCTTTTTGTTTTAAAGTTTGACTAACTGAGTCCATTTCATTGTGCAATGTTTTAGTTGCCAGCAGAATTTGGTATAAACCAGGTTATTTCCATATTGAAAGGAAAACAATTAAAATTGTAGATTTAAAATTTTTAACCATTCATAATAATTCTGATTTCTACTGTATACAATCTGATTTTTAAAATTGTAGACATGTATGATCCTTGATTTAATGTAATTTAAAAGTGTTATTGTTTAAAAAAATTGAAAAAAAGCAGCAAATCTGCTAAAAAGCTGTCAGTTTTCCTTACTGACTCTGTAAAATACACTGTTCTTTGTGTACTGTGTGTTATTTTGCCAGCTGCTGCATTAGCCTTCAGAAGTATTTGGAAACTTAAAGTGAACTACATTTCTTGCAAGTACATTCCTTTCTGTGGTATTTTGTCTTGTAACTGAAGTATAGTAATTATTTTATGGAAATGTTAGCACTTCTGTACCAACTTTGAATAAAAAGAAAAATTAACATTTTTGTGAATGAGTATTTTCAGCATGAACACATCTGTCCCCTGAAATTTACAGTGCTCTATGTCTCAGAGTTGAGTTTGTACCTCAGTTTCTTACTCTGTTTATTCATTACATTCAGACTGCAGTTTTGACAAGAATACAACATATGTGCTGAATTTGTTTTTGGTACTGGGGATCGAACTCTGGACCTTGCGCTTGCGAGGCAGGCAGCGGAACCACTGAGCTAAATCCCCGGCCCAGAATACAACATATGTGATGGCACATCCTTAAAAACTTCCCGTTAGGGGACATGTGAGTTGTTGTCCTGTTACTGTTGACATTTACTTTGATACTTGGTAAAGTCGTGTCTGTCAGGTTTCTTCACTGTCAGGTTGATTTTCCCTTTGGTAAGTAATTTGTGAGGAGATAAGATCAGAGGCTTGTAAGCAACGTATTCTGCATTACACTCTGAACCTCCCGGTTTTAGCATCCACTGATAATTCTTGCCAAATTTACTACTGTGAACAAATGGCTATTTACTAACTTAATTTTGGCTATATTGAACTTGATTTTTGGCCTTTTCCTGCCCAGTATGAACAACTGGATTATTCAGTGGGTTATAATCCATCACCCCCCCACCCCCACCACCACGTTTCCAAGTTTTGCTAATGGCAGGATCCCTTTCAACACAGTTTTTGTGTTCTGTGATGTTTCCATCAGTGTTTTGAGTACTACTTATTTTCCAGCACAATAATCTTCCAGGCTTGCCCCAGTGGGGTCAGGCATAGGGAATGGGTCTGTGTGTGTATGCTCACTGCCACAGGGATGTCATGACTTTGCCTTTTGGTATACAGATACCCATCTACTGATGATTCTAATTCTAAACCAGTACGAGAGGTTTCTTTTTGGCTTCCCTCATTCTTTTCACATTTCCCTTATCCAACTGAGACATCTGATATTAACAAGCTTTCTTCAATCCTGTAGCTCCTTAGCATTAAGAAAATAATTCTTTTGGCATATCTAAAAATGTTTGGCTGGTTATAGAATTCTAGGTGGGAAAGCACTTCAGAGTACAAGGACTAGAATATAAAAAAATAATGGAAATGGAGAAGGGTAAGACTAGTTTCCTAGTCCTTGTGTTCTGAAATTTTAATTATATGTCTTGCAAATTCTTCTCTTCTACTGGCCCTTAGCTCTCAATATGGCACCTTGGTTCTGGTATAATGGTTCTTTTTTTTTGAAATCACTTTTGTTTAGTTCTTGGGCCACCTGGATTGCTATACTTTGTTTCATTGATCTTTTAATTTTTGTCTTTTTTCCCATTCTAGAGGTTTTTCTAAACTTAGTCTTCCAATCTCTGTTGAAAAGTAATTTTAAACTAATTTCTATTATGTTTTTAATTTTAAGAGCTCTTTTGTTCACTGAATCATTCTTACAACCTTTTGTTCTCTCAGTTGCTGTATCTTCTCATCTCTGAAGAGTTTTTTTTCTTCTAGATTATTTACTTCATAACAGTTCTTTTTTTTTTTTTTTTCTTGTTTTGGTCTTTCTCAAATGTATGCTGATCCTGATTGTCTGCTTATACTTAATAAGGTGAACTAAAAATGCCCCAAATGTGTGTGGAGAGCTTCTCTGCTCCAACATTTGGCCTTCATGGCCTGGTTATAGGACAAATCTTACTGTTATCTTAGGTCAGATTCCCCAAAGAAAGCTTTTAATGGAAATGTAAAAGTTTCATGGTGACATTTTGAGAGCCAAGTGGGTAAAGCGCATAGAGGTCTCAGCATTCATTCTGCTTTTTTAAAAAAATCCTTTTTAATGTGGCATCCCCACTTTGCACTGTGCCTGTGGTCTCCAGTTCAGAGACCTTCCTCCTGTAGTGTCTACTTGAGAGATACGCATCTAGGGATCTAGGTGTCCCTTCAGCTTTCCACCAGCTCTGTACCTTATTAGTCTCATACTTACCCCTATTTTCAGACGTGCCCAGAGTTGTTATTTCCCAGATATTTATGGAATTCTGCAGTATACATATGTTTAATTCTTGGACTTTGCCCCTATGTTGCCTTTTTCACCTACTTTATTCCAGAATTTTATTGCAGTTGTCCCTTCTTTCTACCATTCTTACAATACTGTACCTTGAAAAAAAAAGATCCCACACAATCTCTATGTAGATTAGAACACTAGAATGTGTACAAGTTTTATCTGTAAAACTGAAAAACATCTCTGATCAGTAGTTCCAATAGGTTTTCTGAGGGGAGCAGAATTAGGTACTTGAGTAGAATTTTCCAATTTGCCTGAAAATCCGGGTATCCACTCTTGAATTAGTCTTTGAAGATTGAAATTCCAGATCTTCTTGCCCTCCTCTGAAGGCATATGTTGACTATTGAAAGCAAGACTGGAGTTTTGTAAGAAAGGATTTGGGTTTTTTTTGGTACTGGGGATCGAACTTGGGTCCTTGCGCTTGCGCAGCAGGAGGCGAAACCACTGAGCTAAATCCTCGGTGCAAGATTGGAGTTTTAAAATTCAGCTTCTAAGTGCAAAACTGTGAAGACTGTTCACATTTCAGATGGTTCTTACAAGCTATGCAGGTGATTCTTTTGTGCAATAAATGAATCTCCTCCCCATTATCAAGATTAATCCAAGGTACTGCACTGCTGAGCTACATTTCCTAGCCCTTTTTATTTCCTGACAAGGTCTCACTACATCTGCTAATAGCCCAGGCTGACCTTGAACTTGGATCCTCCTGCTTCAGCTCCCAAATAGCTGGGATTTCAGGCATGTACCACCATGCCTGGTACATTCATGGATTTTTATTTTGAAAATTTTTAACACAGTTCATTAAACAACACAAATACAGTGTAGTACTTATTATTGGTAGTGGCTAAGTTCTATAAATTTACCTTGAACATTGAGTTAGCAAATTACTGAATCATTGCCTCTTGGACAAATACAGGGTCACAGGTTCCTGTGAGCTCATTTTTGTCACTGATTAATAATCCATAACCTTGTTTTATGTATATTTAGGTTTAAAGACATCATGTTTAATATAGTATAGTTATTTTGTTTGTTTGTTTTTTGGTACTGGGGATCGAACTCGGGTCCTTGCGCTTGCGCAGCAGGCAGCGAAACCACTGAGCCAAATCCCCCACCCTATAGTTATTTTGTTGACCTTGAGATTAAGGTCAGCAGCACTACAACTTGTGCCTGAATGAAGCTTATCTAATATATGTTCACCCTAAGGCACATCACATCCCTGTGTTTAGGATCACAAGATAGCCATTCAGCACAACAGCTAGCAACCATTTTAAACAGCAAATTAAACAAAAAACACACGAATGGAAAAACCATGGAACGAAATAGGCCACACACATACAAAAAGACTCTCTGATATGACTTGTTTTTCTCAGGTCTTTGGAGAACCAACACAAAATTTATTAAGTAAACAAACTAGTAAATATAGATTTCCCAGATAATGAGAATCAGCTGCATTTATGAAGTAGGCACATATATAAACACTATCCACAATAAAAACATCATTAGCAACAACCCTGGTCCCAAGTATGCTCATTCCATTCTCAAAAAGTTGTGACTTTAAGAGGTTTTCTTGTTGACTCCATATCTCTTTACTCCTAGCTTATGCCTCTGAACTGTTATCTTTGCCTGACTATTTGAAATAAAGGTACTCATACTGAGGCTTAATGTTCTCCTTTCTTGGGATATTGTCTTAGATTATTTTCTGTTGGTATAAGAAAATAAGTGAGACAGCAGTAGTTATAAAGAGTAGAGGTTTGATTGGCTTATGATTCCAGAGGCTGGAAAGTTCAAGAGCATTGCACTAGCATCTTTCTCCCATTTGGGGAAGGCCTTGTTGCTAATAACATGGTGGGACATATCCCATAGCAAGACAGGGCAAAAGAACAGAGGAAGCTTGGTTTTCTAACAAAGCCACTGCTGTGATAGTCCATTAATCCATGCCCTCATGACCTATCCACCTCCCAGAGGTCCCACCCAAATGCCATTGGCGAATTTGGGGATTAAGTTTCCAGTACATGAAATCTGAGTGACACATTCAGACCACAGCAGGTATGTAACACAGAACATGGAATTTCAGACCACCTTGGTCTTTTGTTTTTTCCCTAGACAACTTAGAGGTAGTTGAGGTCCCTTTTCACATGCAGTCTCCAAGTTGGATTCAGTGCTGCAGGATTATGTCAATCTGTAATAAGAGGAACTTGAGCAACAAAATGAGGACTGCCATTTCCTTGGGTTCTCCTTCCATGTTTGATTTGAAATCTCATTGGTCCCAGCTGATGTCAGATGCCCTGTAGAGTACTATTGTCCTCACGTAGGGTTTGCTGCTTGAAGTTTTTGTAGCTTCTCAGTTTGGGTTTTGTTACTGTGACATTCTCTATACACTAGGAGTTGAGAGACAATCCACTGAGGTTTTTTTTACTTCATCCCAAGAAATTTTAGATGTTTGGGGGTACATTACGTACCTTTGATTCTGTTTGCCTTTAACCTTGTTTGTTCCTAGTTCCTTTACAATGTATCAGTTTTTGACTGATAGGCTATGTCTTGGCTTTATTGTGTGCTTGCCTTTTTCTTTTTTGCTTAAATTCTTTTATTGGTACATTTTA